TTATCTACTTTCGGTATTGCTCTCACGATTACTGATGCCAGTATTATTGTCATCATCACCACCACCATCATCATCATCATTATTATTATTATTTTCATTATTATTATTATTTTTGTTATTTTTGTTATTATTATTATTACTACTACCATAGTTACTAGCGCCATCTTCAAGATGGTTATAGATCTGATCGATGTAATCCGACAGGTCTTCATGCTGATCATAGGTCGATGGCAATTCATCTGATCTACTATTTGGGTTTAGCGATTGTTGATGTTGTTGTTGATGTTGTTGATGATGCTGATGTTGCTGCTGTTGTTGTTGTTCATACATGTATATAGCCCGATGCTGAGGCCGTTGCAGATGCAATTGCTGTTGCGACACCGTATCTGGGACATCATAATCGCCATTATTGCCAGCATTATTATTGCTATTATTATTATTATTACTATTGTTGTTGTTGTTGATGGAGTTCCTAGACGAGACTGATGACACCTGACTGGAGGGCCTAAATACCTCTGCAATAAAAAATAATAAAATTAAAAAAAAAAAGTTATTAATACCATAATAATAATAATAATAATAATAATAATAACAACAACAACAATAATAATAATAAGAAGAATTTTACTAACCTAGATTCACTTTTGGTCTTTTCCTTAGGCCCTCGTAAACCATATCGTGTTTTATGTTTAATGTTCGCTTCCAATATTTCAGCTTTTCCATGTAAAACAATCTATCTTTTCCTTCCTGTTATTATTATTATTATTATTTATATTATTATTATTGTTATTGCTATTGTTATTATTATTATGTTTTATTATAGTTAAGATATTAATAATAATAAATCCAACTAATGGTTCTCAGAGCGTGTAAATGAAGCCAACTAGTTTATATAACGAAATATTATATTTATAGTTATTATATAACGATAATTATAAAAGAATTATAAATAATAATTATGAATAAATATGGATTATTATTATTATAATTATAATTATAACCAGTTCGATTTGCCGCCTGACTTGATCTGTTAGCTGCTTATGGCCGTGAGCAACTGATCTCAGGTAATAAACGATTACTCTAATGTGACGAAAATTATTAATTAGAGCTATATATTATTATTTTATTATTATTATTATAAATTACATCAAAGACATACACATAGACACACAAACACACATAGACACACACACACACACACATAAACACACACACACACACAAGGACACAAGCAAACTGACAAACGTACGCGAAAATGATACACGTGACTATCCTAAACCCAACGGATGATATGATATCAGTGATGATAGTAGACGCAGATGGGAATCTGGATAGGGACGAGGGCACGTAACCCCCGGAATTCAGGGCGTCGTAAACCCGTGACCCGTTGTACATCCGGTACGGACCGCAATCCGCCGATGGCGAGATACTGTTTGATGATTGGATTGGATCGTGAGGTCGTTATTTGATTGGTTTGTCTCGAAAGAGTCACGATATTTGATTGGTTGGTTGTCGTGAAAGACGTTTTTTAATTGGTTGGTTATTGGATGGTATTATTTGATTGGTTGATGATGGCGAGTGACGTCATTTGATTGGTTAGTTGATGGATGATGATAAGTGAAGTATTTTGCTGATGATGAATGATTGGTCACGCTAACAAAACGGAAAACACCACGTAAACACACACACACACACACACACACACATACACACACACACACACACACACGTACAAGCACGCAGACACACACAAAGAAAAGAGAGAGAGAGAGAGAGAGAGAGAGAGGTGCTACTAACTAGACGACGCAGTAGATGAAGGTTGAGAGGCAGAGGAGGAAGAGAGTCAAGTGTAGGAGATGTACAAACGTCGTCGTATGCCCCAGTCTCCATAACTTTACTGGCTCGTAAAATCCTAATCTCATCGATAGCTGGATGAATTAATGAAAAATGAATGAATGAATGAATGAATGAATGCTTGTATAAATGATTGATTGATTGGCTCGTAAATTTCTACTTTTATCAATTGCTCGACTGATGAATAAAATGAATGGTTGTTTGGATTGAAAATGAATGAATGAAAAAATGAATAAATAAATGAATGGATGAATGAATAAATGAATGAATGAGTAAACGAACGAACGAACGAACGAATGAATGAATAAATGATTGATCGATTGTCTCTAAAACTCCTAACGATGACAACCTTGGTGATGTAAAACTGGATCAGAAGTTTCAAAACGGCTACAAGAACCAGTAGAGGTGAGAAATAAAGTGATATCCTGGAAAGAAAATAAATAATAACAACAATAACAGTAACAACAATAACAGCGTTGGCGGCGTGATGGCTCAATGGTTAAAGGCGCCTGGCCTTGCTATTGCAATAACTGGGTTCGAATACAAAGAGATCCCAGTCTATCATATGCAATGTGTATGATGCGCGGTTTGCACGCGTATTCATGTACGCTGTGTGTGTTTGTCGTTGAAACCTCTGAAGCAGACGCAAAAGAGAGAGAGATTAACCTTTAACCTTCAACGATAAGAATAACAACAACCAACCTACCAGACAAGGCACTGCGTGTAGATGATGCTAACAGATAGTCTGCCCATGTCAAACTCACTGGCATTCTTAAAGAGCGATAAGGCTGGATGGTCAGTCAAAACGGACTTTATAACTAGACAGATTAATCTGTAGTGTGTGTGTGTGTGTGAGATAGAAAAAAAAGAGATAAGGAGCGAGAGAAAGAGAGTTTATGTATGTGTATGTGCGCGTGGTGTGTGTGTGAATTACAAACACATACATACATATACACATACACACATACTTTTTTGAAGCGTCAACCAGAAACGTGAAGATGGTGACGAAGAAATCGAGGATGAGTAGGACGTAGAGCTGAGTGCCTAGATGCGTTTCCCAGCACTGCATAATAATAATAATAATAATAATAATAATAATAATAATAATAATAATAACAACAACAACAATAATAATAATAATAATAATAATGGGAACATCCTTTTATTTTCTAACTCCAAATACCAAATATTAATAATGAAATAATTATAAAATCCTATTTAATCTAATAAGAAGAAGAAGAAGAAAAAGTAGAAGAAGAACAAGAACAAGAAAAAGAACAAGAAAAAAAATAAAATAGTATTAATAATAATTACAACAATGTTAATTGACGATTGCAAAAGTGATGATAAAAATTATTATTATCGTAAAGAAATAGACGAAGACGACGATGATGATGACTAATGAGAAAAAATGATTATCAGATAGATCATCATTCCAATCATACAACATCATATATTACTAATCTGCTGGACAATGCCTATAGCATAATAGTATTTGAACAAGATATTACAACATAACCATCAGATCATACGCACACGCGCATAATTATAAATAATTATGTATAATTACAGGATGCACATCATAGTATAACCACGACAATTATCACCACAAATAACACAGGATTACACATAATTAGATTCTGTGATGATAAGCGGCTCAGTTGAATAAGAAAAAATTAAAAAAAGACAGAAAAACCAAACAAAAATAAGCAAACATATAAACATAACAAGGTGGACAAACAGACAGACAGACAGGTAGACAGACACAGACAGGCAACCAACCTCGGATCTCTTGCAAGAACTTGCGTATGGCTCGGTGATACTGAACGTCTCGGTGGGGTACGCATAGCACATGTACCAGAAATGAACGACTACAGACAGGTTGCACGCTTGCAAGAAGCAGGTCCTGATGATGATGGTGAGTGGCGATTGTGATGATAATGATGTTATTGACCAAACAATCAAAGAACAAGTCAGTCAGTCGGCCAGCTGGCCAACCAACCCACCAGCCAACCAACCCACCAGCCAACCAACCAACCAACCTTATGACAATCAGATAGATGGATCCTCTTGATGATTTGTACTTCTCAAATTGCGCCAGATACGAGAATAAGAAGGGCAAGCCATGATTCAAAGTGGTCAAGAGGGCTGGCACCCCAAGGCGGGCCTCCAGTGAATTTGGTCTGCCCTGTTTATTTCAATTTTTGATAATTTAATTATGATTTGTCGTTGCATTTATCCGTCGATCTATGTCGGTGTAAGAAAGAAAGATAAGAGAGAAAGAGAGAAAGAAAGAAAGAGAGAGAGAGAGAGAGAGAGAGAGAGAGAGAGAAAGAGAAAGAGAGAAAGTGGGAGAAAGATAGAGATAGAGAGAAACAAATAACTTTCAAGGTAACATAATCCAATGAGACCGCTAACATAAAGAGAAAGAAAGAACAAAAAAGAACAAACATCACAAACGAAAAACAAAGAACGAACAAGGAACCAAACAAAGTACGAACGAGGGGCAGACAAACAAAGAACAAATAATACGAACACTGATGGAGGCGCAAGCGTAAAACAAGGCCACAGGACTGGCAACCATTGTTAGGATGATCAAGAGGTTCGTTAGAGCCATCAGGCAGTTGTAAAGTTGCTCCTTTCTTCTCGACATCGTCCGATTCCTCAACTGCAGCTCTATATATAATGTCTGTGCATGTGTGCGCGTGCGTGTGTGTCTGCGCGTGTGTATGTGTCTGCGTGTGTGTTTTTGCGTGTGTGTGTGTGTCTCCGTGTGTGTGTGTCTACGTGCGTGATAGATTAGGTGAAATTATAAAAATAATAAGCCACCGATGATAAAACAAAGCAAAAACAGCCAAAAAACCTTGAGATCTAACAATATAGAGTTGGACTTTAGAGCGGCAATGTCTAGATCTTTGATGTTGAAATCCCAGGCGCAGAACAAAATACTACCATCCATATTTATGTCCAGTCCTTTTGTATTATAGTACGACTTTTTGAATGATCTACTGAATCTGAATACGAATGAACAAATGTATTTTCATTGGGTGTGTGTGTGTGTGTAAGTATAAAAGTGTGTGTGTACATGTAAGTGTGTGTGTTTGTGAGTGTGTGTACATGGAAGTGTGTGTGTTTGTGTGTGTGTGTGTGTCAGAACGTCACACGAACATCGTAGAAAGTATCAGGAGTGCGTATCCATACATGAAGCAAACCACAAGGAAGTAGGCCCTATTCATTATGTATCCATGATCCTGCAAGTCACCTGTGTAGAAACCATAATATAGTGCCGTCTGCCTAAACCAACCCTATCAAATTTTTCAAAAATTATTCGTTTGAAAAATAATACTATCATTAAATTATCATCATCATCATTATTAACATCATTATTAATAATAATATTATTATTATTTTAACAGACGATGTTATTATTATTATTATTAATATTATTATTATTATGGTTGTTGGATTAAAGATAATTTCATAACAGCAAGCAGACTAACATCACCGAGAACCAGCTCTCTGCCAGAGAACGCAATGACATCACCAGTATAATTGCTAATGTTGGCCGCATTACTCGTCAAGTTTACGCTGTTGGTTCTATTATTAGCAACGGTAGGCAGAGCCAGAGTTTGCGGGAAAACGATGAAAAATAGTGAAATGAACAGAATGGAGATGTCCAAGAGGATGAAAGATCGAAGTAGGTAGAAGTACGAAGCAGTGCCTAATCTGTATTGTTCTTCTAGTAATTTGAATTTAGGTAGCTGGCAACATTTCGATAACGATTGGAAAAACTGTTTAGAGGCAAAAAATAGAAAAATAGATCCATTAAAAAAAATGTAATTATAACATATGGTTATTTTTAAAAGTTAGTTTTTAAATTGAAAGATAGGTTCTGAATTTATAGAATTCTAAAATTTGGTTCATGAAAAAATTACATTTAAAAAAACCTAAAAAAAAACAATCATAAAACTTTATAAAGCTTTAGCTAATTATTCAATTTATTTTCAATTTGATTAATAAATAGATAAGTTTTATCTCAATTATTTATTTAATTTTTTATTTAATAATTTTAAATCCAAAAATAACTGACAGATCTGGATAACGAGAACAGACTTCCACAATGCTGCAGTTAAATAAATTATTCAAAATAACATAATAATATTATATTATATATAATAAAAAAAAAATAATATATGATAATATCAAGAATGATAATTTTAAAAATTTAAATAATTTAATTAATCAATTATGTTATTAACTAATTGGATAATTAATTGAGAGTTGAGTCATAATTTAAAACGTGGGCTAAAAAAGTTCCTAATTATAGCCATAAATAATTTTAAAAACTTAGTAAAACAAACAGCAGAAAACTAATTGAAAATAAATAAAAAAATGATAACATATAAAACAAACAAAAGAAAGAAAAAACAAAGAAAATAAAAAAAACATATAAAACAAACAAAAGAAAGAAAAAACAAAGAAAACAAACCAATGCAGTAGATTTTTTCTCAAACTTTCGGCTATCGGTCATGCTTATACTTCCCTGTTCTTCGTCACTAATTAGCTTTCTTTAAAAAAAACAAATATAAATAAATATACAATAATATAAATACACACACGCACGCACATACATACACACACTCACACACACATGCAGGGTACTTTTTTTAGTTAGAATGAAATTTATCGAAAATCCAACATAAAATTTGTAAAATTCTTTAAAAGATATTTCAGGTTTTAATATGAAAATGTATTATAAATAATTTGAAATTAATTAAAAATTGAATAAATTCATTTGATATTTTGAAAAAATATTAATTATTATAATAAATATATACATAATTAACATAAACAAGTAAACCTACTTGATTTGAAATTTATCTTTCAAGGGTCTAGTTAACTTTTTTATTTCAGAATTCCTTTCAAAAGCTCGTAGAAATTTGCCTGGAGTTAATTCACTGTTGATCACAGCATTATCATTTTTATTATCCTTATCAATTTCACTTTTAGTTAATTTATTTGATCTTCTGAAAAGTTTATCACAGAACTCATCGACAGGTAAGTTTTTTAGATGATAGAGTGACTGCTGCCTAACCAGCATCTTTGGGTGTGCGTGTGCTGTTGGCGCAGTGATGGTGCTGCTTAAGTTGGTGCTGTTTTTCGATTGTTTGGATGGTGCCTCAAGAGTTTTTGATCTTTGGTCATCATTTATATACACAAGAATATCTCGATCGTTCATAGAACCAATTGCTCCTGTGATTGTGTGTGATGTTATATAATAAATAATTTAAAGTTATCAAGGTAATTTGGAGGTTCATGGTTGCCAATGTCCTGAAAGGATTAGGCAGGAGAAAAAAAGGAAGAAGGTAATTTTAAGTTATTAATACTAAAATGTAAGTAAGATAATATTTTCTATTTTATCATATATAAAATTTAATATGCTCAATGTCAATAGTCATTTATTTTGTGGCAATATTTGTATAATGCCATGTAAAATAAAACGTAAGTAAATAATAAAAACACCTTCTTCTCCACCAGCCATAACCTGTACTTATCATTTATTATATATCAACTGGTTGTTAAGTTAACTAGTATTTAATTAACTTTTTAACATTTAACAGTCCAACTACTACTTAACTAACCACATCACAACATCACATACATATAAAATACAGACTTCAACCAAAGAAACAATTTTTTTTCAAAATAAAACGCCAGATGCATATTATTAATTAACTAACTAAAAAACTAACTATTACCAAGTTAATTGGAAAAAAATTAATTGAACATTAAAAAAATTGATTAAATAAAAAAAAGATTGAAATTCACACCAATGGTTGAGTAGTTGGCAGCTCTCAAGGCATTTGCATCTTTGTTGAGATCTCCCATCATCATCATCTCAACATCTTCATTTTTTTCTTCCATTTTTAAAATTTTTTTGAAATCATTTAAAATTTTTATTCAAAAAACGAAACTAAATAAAAGTTCTTTATTTACATATTAACTTAAATTCCATTTTAAATTAAAAGATTTTTTAACGGCAAAATAACCGTCTGATTTTTTACCACAAGAACAAAGAAAAGGCCATTCGAAGCATCACATTAAAACACCCAACAGCTGAATGCTAAGCTAACAATGTTAAATAAGTCATCAATCATATATATATCTTCAAAACTACATGCCAGTTATTTGAAACAAAAGGTTAATACTACCTAACTATTCATTCATGTCATTGTCTGCCTGTTATAACGCTACATTACAGCATAATTTTGGTAATGATATGAATATATATATATATATATATATATATATATATATATATAGCACTCTACGGGTACTCTAATTATGACACTTATATAAAGTCTAACGTCATACAGTAGCAGATTTCGAGTTGGTACTTTCCTATTGCTACTTTTACGCATTCAATCACTCTTGAAATTTGTTAATTTTACACAAAAACTAATACTTGTACGTGCAGTCACGTTCTTTACAAATGATGATCCAATCTAATACATCCGTCTTCATACCAACCAATCAATTAGCTTATAAAGCGCTATTTCCGCGATGTTCAACAGCACTCCTCAATGAATTTTAAAAACAGATGGGTCTTGAGATCCGCTCTGAACTTCGCAAGTGATGGAGAAATAGTCAGAGAAGTAGGTAGAGAGTTCCGTCAGCATTGTTTTGAGATTTTCTAAAATACTACTGACATAACATAACACGACTACTTTTATTGCTACTAATAAAATAAGCATAAAAATTTCACCTTCTACTTACAGTACAATTAAAGAGCTCGTCACTAGAACGTTGAAATATTCTCACAAAACCTCGAGAACGCAAATAGACAACAAATTCTTACCATCTAACCAATAAAATCTTAACGCAGAAAAATATGTAGATGTAATGAAATTATAACACAGATAAGCCGAAACGCGTCAATATTTCAAATCGTTTTGCAAAGTCCTCTCCTGTAGTGCAAAACCTGATCATCCACACTCAATGCTTTCAATTTGTAATAGTGGTCCAATTTTAGCTTTTCTGAATTTTGCTTAGTGAGCTTCAACAAATTACCGGTAGATTCAACGTAGGACTTCAGATGGGCACAGTTCTAAAATAATATATAAACAGTTTTTGATAAGTGTGATAGATATCTTAATGAAGTGAGTAAAACAGACAGGTGAATAATAAAGTATAGTATCTGCTTTGTTAAATTTCCTGGAGTAATAATTCTCATGCAAATAATTGTTCCCTATAGCTCTGTTTAATTCCTCCTGAAATAAAAAAAAAAAATCAATGTAGTAAGAGAATTTGAAAGTTTCAAAAGTATTTTAAAACCTTCATCATTTGAGTACTTTTCATTTTTTCCTCAATTTTTTCATTAACAAATTTGAAGAGGAATGCTCTGTTTGATAGAGTTTCATGTAAAATACTTTCAACTCTCCTCTTAAATTCTTCATTTTTCTGTAGGACCATGTTTAATTCCTCATTGAAGAGGCAATAAAATTTTGTCAAATGGTCCAACTCATTTTGATCAAAGTCTAATTTTTCAGATGAATAGGGACAAAAAAATTCTGCAAAAATTATAATAATAAGCTGTGAAAATTGTTGTTAAATAAGTGATTTCACAAGTTTTCAGAATCATTAGATGTATATTCTTGCACTATGACCCATCCTTATTGAAATGGCAGATGTCTTGCTCTGAATAAGAACATTTGATAAGAGACAAAACAACTGCAAACCTCGTGTTTGGCATTTATGAACATCATATTTGAATCTTTTATTAAACACTTTGGATCTTAGCTTGACTTTCTCAACAAAATCATTCAATCTAATGTGTAATGAGTTGAAAACCTGAATATTTTTAAATTGAAAAATAAAATTCAAGATAAATAAAAAAATTAAGTGAAAATTATGTTATTTTTTAAATTATTCATGAATCTTGTTGGTTATGTAAGTGAACAAAGGCAAGAGTGAACCTTCAATTGATCAGTAACTCCATCTCTCAATGTGAGCAAAACACATCTCAGATCTTTCAATTTCACATTCTCAATATTCAAGTAACTCTCTGGGCAGTCAGGTATGAACTGATATTCCAAAAAGTAACATTAAGGAAAAAGAATAAATAACCAAAAAATAATAAGGATTAGCATTAGTTTGAAAATATTCCAACAAAATAAAATAATAAATCACATAATATGGAAATACCTTTTCAAAGTAAGGCCTCTTAAGACGTTTGCTAAGACTTGCTTCGTTTATTTTGAGAGCTTTATCGAGGCCAGTGATTGATAAGCAGATGGAGTCAAAAATTTTTCTGAGAGCTTTCCTCTTCAAGTTCAAATCTAAAACGGACTTTTGATTCTCTTTTATCAGCTCATTAACTTTAGCAGAAAACTTTTCTATTTTTAAATTTTCACTTTCGGACCAGTTAACCGAGCAAGCACTTTCCGGAACGTTCGGATGCTCCCTGAACGAGGAGGTCAGCTTGCGAGACAAATTTATATTTTTAAAAGAACGGTTCCGCCATGTTTCTTCGCGTTTTTGACATTGCTTGGCGCTTGTAAAAGCCATTTAAAATTTTAAAAAAGGGAAACCTTACAAACTACAATAAATTTATTCACTGATTTAAACGATTTTCAAAACAAAATCAAGAAATTACAATATATAACATCGTAACGTAACCGAAATAAAAATACACATAACAGACCGTTTTTTATAAACGCATTAAGCTCACAGCATTTAAAAGTAAACTCAAGTAAAAAATTATAAATTAATTAACTACATGATAAGAATTAACATTACATTAGTAAACACAATACTAAAAAGGACTAGTCGTAGCAATACATAACATTATATCAATACTATGTACACATACAAATGTCACACACACACACAAACACACACACAAAAGTTCATCAAAAAATAAAGTTTACCAAACAAATAAATCACTAACATTTGATATTATGAATCAAGAAGTAATAACTTAGAGCTCACATCACGACCACACTTTCACATTACACAAGCACACGGAAACGCTCACTATAAACTAAAAAAACACGATGTATGAACATTTCACACACTAAACAAACACCAATGTTGAAAAGAATAGGGAAAAAAGATGGCGGTTTAAAAAAAAGGATAAAATTTATGAAAATTAAATGAAAAATTAAATCAAATAAAAGGCAAGCTAAAGATACACAGCATCTAATACAGGACTGAAGTCAGGTGTGTTTAGACTGTTCATTCACGTCTGTACGTATGTATAATCATTTTTGTTTGTAATGGTTTACTCGTTCATGTTTGTGGATGTTCACCCGTTTATGATTGTGGATGTTCATTCACTCGTTTGTGTCTGCAATCGCTCGTCATGGAATTTTAAATTTAAACATAACAGATGTACGCTACGCTGTGACGATTAGGAAATAATTGTAATAACACGCATGTAATGGTCCCTTCTATGGTAACACAGAATCGACTGAAAATTTATACCACTAACATCACTGACCAAAAAAAAATTTAAAAGAAATGGAAAAAAAAAACAATAGATAAACAAAACGTTCGAACAAACAAACAACGAACGAACAAACAAACGAACAAGAAACATGATATTTAAAAAAAGACTGATAGCCATGAGGTAAATGAAAGAGGCTTCTTCTTAACTAGAACACTACTTCTATCTCCGCCAGTCTATTGATAGATGAAAAAAATGAATGAACGAACGAACAAATGAAAAAATAAATGAACGAAAGAATAAATAAATGAATGAATAAACGAATTAAATCAATCAATCAGCAAACCAATCTATCTATTTATCTACCCAGCAATCCATCTACCTCAAACTAGTTAGTTACTATCAAATATTTATAAAACCCAAGCTGAAACAAGAAAGTACAACGAAGAGTTCAACAACAAAAATATAACACCGTTTAAAAACATATTCTAACAGACATGATAAGCATGATTGATTTGCCTACTTAGATATATGTTTCATTCAATAATGATACGAACACACACACAGAGACACACTCACACACAAAGACAGAAAGATAAAAACACACTCAGCCACACACACAATGAAAACAAACATTTCTAACATGCACCAACAATCTTTATAGTTTTATTTATAGGTATGAACACCATAAATCCACCGCTCATAATGAATAATGATACAACGAGGAGAAATACTATAACTGACGGCTGCCTGCATTTATAACAAAAAACAACAGCAAAATATGCATTGTAAATTGTGCAACGGATAGTACCTAACAACACACACACACAAACACACACACACACACACACACACACACACACACAGACAGACAAACACAAATAACCGATGATGACTGAATAGAATGTTATGACTAAAGATGTATGTATATATATATATATATATATATATATATATATATATATATATATATAATTATATATATATACTATACACATATAAACACACACACACCATATATATACATACATACATACATACACACACACACACGAGAATGTATATGGGTATATACCTTGCTGAATAAATATACTGTAAAAAGCACAGAACGTATGTAAACCAGTCTATAAAACAATTGAATGAAACTGAAATAATAAATACAGAAGAATAAGAAGGGAGATAGAGATACAATAGAGCTATCCGTACACTATTACTACAATTTAAGGACAATAACAACAACAAAAAAATAATAATAATGATAATAATAATATAGAAAAATATGAAAATCAAAATACTCTAGAAAGTAGAAGCTGCAGCAAACTGAACACAGAAAATAATCATAACAACATCAATAATAATAATAATCATAATAATAATAATCACAAGAATAATAATAATCATGATAACAATAACAATCACGCGTCACGAGCAATATCTGGCGATAAATTTAATGCAACTGAATAACTCACTAATAGATAGATAGATAGATAGATAGATAGATAGATAGATAGATAGATAGATAGATAGATAGATAGATAGATAGATAGATAGATAGATAGATAGATAGATAGATAGATAGATAGATAGATAGATATACGTATTATTGAATTATTATTATTACTATTACAACAAATGGATAACAGTTATAACTGAACATGTGTGTGTGTGTGTGTGTGTGTGTGTGTGTGTGTGTGTGTGTGTGTGTGTGTCTCCTGAGTCAATATTTAAGCATTGTATGAATAGATGTATTAAAAGTTTGTTGCCAGTGTTTGTACGTAAATTTTCACGTTATAATCAAGTTTCAATTGATCAATCAATCAATCAATCAACTAGCCAATCAATCAATTAATTAATCAATCAGTCAGTCAGTCAGTCAACCAATCAATCATCTATCCAACCAGCCAATAAATCAACTAGCCAACTAACCAATCAATCAAACAATCAATATATCATCAATCAATCAATCGATCAATCAATCATCAATCAATCAATCAACCAACCAATTGCTAACAAACACTAAACAAATCAATGAAGCAATCAATCATTTTAATGGATTGCTTGATAAATCAATCAAACAAACAAAGCTAATCAAATAAAGAATCAATCAATCAATCAATCAATCAATCAATCAATCAATCAATCAAGCAATCAAGCAATTCCATCTATCAGATAGGGATTAAACATTTCAGAACAACAACCACGTACGACGTGTAAAAAAACTTGAAAAACTTAACGATATTGAAAAAAATATTTAAAAAAAAAATGAATAAAAATCGCGTGATCACTTTTATATAGCGCATGACTTTATGATATTAATAGTAAAAATTATCCCAAGATCAAATAATAATAATAAATAATTAAATAATAATAATTATAATTATTATTAATATAATTATTATTTAATTATTTCTATCTGAAATTTGAGTAGATAGAGAATTCAGATAGATAGTTGAGTACCATCTCGTAACACAATTTGTACTGCTCCTACACGAATTTTTATAAGTATTTATTATTAATATAATAATAATTATTTTTATTATTTACTATTAATGTTATTATTTATTATCGCAATATTATTATTATGTTATCATTATTTATTATATATTATTATACATATATATCAACCGACCTATACTAACCAATGTTGCTCAACTAGTAAGCAACCGACCAATCAATCAATCATCCAATTTGATCAATCAATCAATTAATCATCCAATTTGATCAATCATCCACTCACTCACTCACTCACTCACTCACTCACTCACTCACTCACTCACTCACTCACTCACTCACTCACTCACTCACTCGCTCACTCAATCAATCAATCAAACAATCAACCAATCAATCAACCAACCAATAAAACAATCAATCAATCTAGAAATCAACCAATCATTCACCCAATTTGATCAACCAATCAATTATTCTACTCACTCACTCCCTCACTCAATCAATCAATCCAGCAATTGACTAACATAATTCCTAATGATTGACGGCCTGTGATCTCTCATCCGACGCACTGATTGAAAAATGTCAACCTCCTGCTCATCCTTCAATCGCTCAATCACACAACTTATCGTCGCATACAGACCACTGTGCGTCACTCCATCCCTAAAATGTATTGTTTTGTTTGTTTGTTTGTTTGTATGTATGTATGCATGTATGTATGTATGTATGTATGTATGTATGTATGTATGTATGTATGTATGTATGTATGTATGTATGTATGTATGTATGTATGTATGTATATATGTATGTATGTAAGTATGTATGTGTGTGTGTGTATAGATATGAGCGTATGCATGTGCATTTACGTCTGTATGTCTGCATACGCATGTGTGAATGAACGAGTATCTATGTACGTATGTCTATTTGTTTGTTTGTATGTGTGTGTGTGTGTGTGTGTGTGTGTGTGTGTGTGTTTTGACTAAATTAAATTCCTTGCATGATTCATTGTGTAGCGCTATATTTACAGAGCAAATAAATAAAATAAAGAAAATTTATTCAGCATTTTTGGTCTTCAACCACCTGCAATGTATAATGATGGGATTGTTGCCGGTTTTGATCTGAGATTTCTCAACGTACTCCAGCATATTAATTAGGGTGTTTTTAAACGTGGCCAGCCCTGTGACGTCACAGTCTACGTCATTATTCTTATCACTGTTGTTGTTGTTGTTATTATTATTATTGTTGTTGTTATTGTTGTCGTCGTTAGTGACGTAACCCTTGTTCAAATGAGCTGGCCATGGAATATTCAGCTGGAAATGATTGACAGTTTGATAATGTTTTTCATTTTTGTTATGCTTGTTGTTGTTGTTACTGTTGTTGTCATCACTGTTGTCGCGTTGACGTTTAGCAGTGGTGTCGACATCGTCGTCACCACCGTCACCACCTGCATCTTTCTGACTGGCTAGTGACGCCTGGATCAGACAAAGAGAAAAAAGAAGAGGAAGAATTAAAACTTTAAAATTGAATCGAAACAGACAAAATAAAAACATAAGATAAAACAAGACACAGAGGAAATAATTATTTTAATTAAATAAATAATAAACAAAAACATAGAGAAGTAATACAAACACACTGACCTCTTCATCGTCAGAGAGGTTAAAGGTCAACTTAAGTTCTCGGACGGTGATGTGCTCGTTTTCCCTGTTCACCGACATGGCTTCGATCATGAATGGGCCACACTCGCACTCTTCATTCTCCTCTGACCAGTACTGTCCGTATGTCTGAGAGGTTTGGAAAATAATAATAATAATAATAATAATAATAATAATAATAATAATAATAATGGGAGCATGCTTTTATTTACCGAAAGAATAAAATCCAAATGAATTCAATCGAAAATTATTAATCACATATCAGAGTGTGAATGAGTGAAATGTAAAATACAATGTACGATCCTCTCATTCTCTTTGATCAACAATTGCTTGAAAGTAAAAAAAATATATATAATAATAACAACAACAACAACAATAATAATAATAATAATAACATTCCTTTGTCGGCCAATGTTATGTTATTACTATTTACCCAAAATTATTATTATTATTATGGCAAAATCTAAAATCACCAGATACAACGGAATCGAATCTTGAAAAAAATTAAGAAAAAAAAATTGAATCCAAAACCAAAAAAAAAACAATTAGAAAAAAAAACGAATTCGAGACATCCGACTAACTTGATCGTTTTCATCCCAGGGGTTCAGCATGATGAGGGTGCCACAGCGAACCTCGTACACCAACCTCCACATATCAATTACGGTGTGGGTCATTGGCATTTGGGTTATTAGGTAGGCATTCTTCTTTCTGTAACTCTGCCGTTGTCGTAGTTGAGGTTATTATTATTATTATTATTACTCTATAGAAAGACAGACAGACACGCAAACAGACAGGCACCCAAACAAACAGACAGACATCCAAACAGACACCCAAACAGACAAGCAGACAGACAGACAGACACCCAAACAGACAGACATCCAAACAGACAGACAGACACTAACATCAAGATAGACGGCATTTATGTAATCATTGGTTCCTTGCACTCTCGTCATCAGGTATGGTCTGTGGTTGTCGGCTGTTTGCGGATGACAAATACTTCGTTCAGGCTTTTGTTCAATACTACTACTACTACAGCCACTATTACTACTACTACAGTCACCACTACTACTACTACAATTACTACTACTACTCTTAATAATAAAATAATAACAACAATAAATGAATAAATAATTAAAATTATACAAAAGCCAAGCCATAAAAAATGTTGATTAGACATTTAAACAGCAGCGACACAGACCAGGTAATATATTTGGGTATCTGTTTTTCTCCTTATTCTCTTCTGAGTCTCCAAGTTTATAATCGTCTGGTTTGTCTTTGTAGGAGACTTTCGACAACATCTAAGAATAATTCAATCAATCAATCAATCAATCAATCAATCAATCAATCAATCAATAGATCACTAATTAGCCAATCAAGCCACTAACGTTATATTCCACTTTTAGCAACACCATCTCATCATTATCATCATCACCATCATCCTTGTTATTTTTGTTATTCTTATTTTTAGAAACGGTAGCCGGCTTTTCCAGCTTAGCTAGTTTCGTTTTCAGTTCGTGAAATTTTGTGGGAAATTCCGAGCTGGATATGATCGTGTTCTTAATGTTAAGGGCTTCAAGGAGGGCATCGTATACGAATATGTACTGGTCCTGCATATATATATATATATATATATATATATATATATATATATATATATATATATATATATATATATAATATATATATATATATATATTGTTCGATTGTTAGATTACGTCGGTTGGTCAATATATATACGTAATATATATATATATATATATATATATATATATATATATATATATATATGTGTGTGTGTGTGTGTGCGTGCGTAAATATGTGCGTGCATGTGTGAGTGTGTTTGTGTAAAAGCGTCCACAACTAAACAATATGTCTACACTTGAAGCGTTCATCCTTCATACAACTATCGACTCATTCACTCACCCGTCCATCTATCAATTCATCCAACCAAGCATCCTTCCACTGATTCACCCCTCCATTCATCCACTAATTTACTAACTGACCAGTGTTTGTATCATATTGACTCGATCCTTCCTCATATTGCTGGTGAACTGGAAAACGTCAATGGCCTGCTCATTGGCCGATTGGTCCAGCAGATAGTCCAGTGCTATGTAGGCCCCTGTCCTACCAACCCCAGCGCTGAAAATAATAAAAATAATTATGCTGAATAATTAAAAATTATATAATAAATTAAAATTATAATAAACAAATAAATAACAAAACGTTATAATAAAAAACCTGCAGTGAACGAGCACAACTCCAGGATGCGAATCATCATACTGCCTAACTTTCCGCCTGAATGAAATAATCGGCCACACCCTATCGGGTACCCCGTGGTCAGGCCAGGCTACATAATGGAACTGCTTGACGCTCCTGATGACGTCATTATCCTTGTGCCTTAGTTCAAATGTCCTGATGATGTAGTCCGTCGTCACTTCGACATCTCTCAAGGTCACGACGATGTCTCCGTAGAGTTTTTCTTCGTTTTCAACGTCGCTCCAGTACTGCTCGCACTTGACACGGCCCTTCTCGATCAGGTTCGTCACCATGACAATTCGTAGCGCGTCTACCTGCCAGACCATGCGCCACATGTCCTCCACTGTCCACTTGTTGCAGCCTGTGTTGTTGTCGTTGTGGTTGTGTTGTTGTGGTTGTGTTGTTGCGTTATTTTATGTCTGCCATTCTATAAATTATTTTGTTAATTAATTATTTTATTTAATAAATATCATTTTTAATAATAGATGAATGTTTTGATGAAAATGAGAAAGAGACACTGAGGTCTGAATAGGATGAACAACGAATGATGAACCTTGCGAAGCAATATAGGCCTTTGCTCTTTTGTAGCCCTGATGTGAATAATCAAGTCACTTTATCTCATTTGCATAATTAATTAATTTATTCATTAAAAATTTGCATTAATTAATTAATTAATTAACTGATTAATTAATTTTAATAATTTATTCAATATTCATTAACATACATCTATGTAGTTAGCGTTGATGTAGTCTGATCCGACGCCATCCAAAACAACGCGGGAGTGATCATCTGATTCATTCATTTATTCATTCATTCATTCATTCATCCATTCATTCAATACAGTACTAGCGTAATTATTTCATGTAAACAAATTTTATGCATAAAATTCTAAGCATATACTAAATGAATGAATGATTGATTGATTGAATGATTGATTGAATGAATGATTGATTGAATGGACGAATGATTGATTGAATGGACGAATGATTGATTGAATGGATGGATGATTGATTAAATAGACGAATGAATGATTGACTGATTGAACATACACGGAAGTATATTTATAAATCTATTTTTGTATCTGTTCTCGGTTTTGTTGCCTGACGTCGACGAGGCTCCGCCATTCATGTCTGGAATTTCCTAGAAAGTTATTTTTAACAACCTGTACAACAACATACAATGGAATACGCATGCATCTAACGTGTTTCAACTTAAAAAAAAATTAGTGTGGCATTTCAATCACCCAACCAGCCAATCAACCAACCAGCCAATCAACCAACCAGCCAATCAACCAATTAGCCAATCAACCAACCAACCAACCAACCGACCAGCCAGCCAGCCAACCAACCAATCAATCACACATACAATAGAAAAATACACAACAGAAAAACCTACTTTAAATTCTTTTCTGAGTAAAAAGCAGTCATCCTCCTTCCCTAACCTCACATACTCCATCAAGTCACTAATTTTTATTGGCCCCCTGTCAGTCGGAATTGATGGCGTTGGTATCTCCTTTAGCTTTGTGCCCCCATTTCTATTGCCATTTTCCGACAGGAATGATCTCGGATGGAGGAATGGGGGGTCCAGCACATCACTGATTTGGTCATCATGGTTACTGCCGGCGCCAGCAGTAGCTAAGGTAGTAGCGGAAGTGGCAGTTGTAGCCGCCGAAACTAGTAGATTGTTGATGTTTGGCATGTTTGGGTTCCTGATGTGTATGCTGTTTAGTTCAGTGGCTGAAAATAAGATTTTTTGCAAATTTAAGAAGATAGAATTCTAAGCGTAATGAAACTAGAAAAAAATGTAAAAAATAGCGCTATATAAATAATGTAGCAGAAAGATGAAGACAAAATAGAATACTAACTTGATATGACCATGTCTGAAGCTTGAAGTTTGCCATCAAGTTCGTTTTGAGGCAGTGAGTTGTACTTCTTTAGCTGGCGTCTGTGTAGTGCCAACTTACTTATTAGTTACTTATTAGTTACTCCGGCGCATTAGGCTTTTGATACATCATTTAATTTTATGTTTTCTAGACCGGTTTATTGTGGTTTACAAATACAACAAGGACAACAACAAGGACAACAACAACATTACCTGTATATGAGAACAACGAACACGACAAGAATTGTTAGTAGTGCACAGGCCACGAAACCAAACAACATGCCAAAGTCAATCTTCGATTGTTTGAAACTTCTTAGACTGAGTGCTGATAAAAAAAATGAAATAAATTAATAAACATAATAACAAACAAAATGTAACAAATAATAAAATAACAACCAACCAACCAACCAATCAATCAATCAATCAACCAGCCAACCAACCAATCAACCAACCAGCCAGCCAGCCAGCCCACAAACAAACAAACCTCCGTGAATTGTAGTGACGAACTTTCTATCGCTACTGCTGTCCAGTGGCTGATTGTTATGCGCAACGACCACAAACCAGTAGTCAGAGCTAAACTCCAAGTTTGTGATGTTGCGTGCGGAGACGAGATGAGAGTTAAACTCACTCCTCCATTCCGACGTCCCAAACTTCTGGTAGAGGATCTCGTAGTAAAGGATGTCGTCACAATTCGACTGTTGCTTGTTTAGAAGCTGTCATCAATGTTTGTTCATTTGTTCGTCGAGAGGTGTAGGTTAACCCCGACGCATGATGGTGAATTATAGTCAATAGAAAGATCAATTAGCTGTACTGATCCATCCATCCATCTATCTATCCATTTTTTCATTTATCTCATTCATTCATTCATTTATACATACCATTCATTCATTCATACATGCATCCAAATAATTTGGAAAATAAAATTAAAGTTAAACAAAATAAACGTGAAAAAAAAAATTTAGAAAAGTAATAACGATACACAAACA